TTTTGTGTGACACCGTTTTACGTGACTCCGGTTTATAATGCACACACTCATCCCCCACCCACTACCACGTACCGCCACTACCTAGCCACTTTTCGGCGTCCGGCGACCACCCTCCCCCTCCCATCCCTCGACGCCGATGACCCTCCCCCACCCATTCCTTGATAGAGAAATGCAAATTCAGTTACAGAATATGAAAAAAGCACTCAAATCATTTGGGGATTAAAAAAACATATACAACTCATAAACTGTCTTTCAAACATATTGGTCGATGAAAGGGGGGAGGTTTTCTTTTAATTATCTGTTAAGAAATTAGTTACTACCTCCGTTACAAGTTATGTGCAACGATTTGACATAAAGCAGAGAGGAAAAATGTCTAATCGTTGCACATAACCTGTAACGGAGGTAGTATATTTAACGCGTCAAACAAGTGAGTAGCCAAATTTTGTTGTTAATATTGACACAATTAAATTTTACACACTTGTCAATAATTATGTCTTGATTTCTCTTATCTCTATTATAAGAAAAAAAAAATCAACTAGCAACTACACAAGGACTCTTAACATAATTAAAGCTAGATTGAAGACCATGTGATCTACTAAAAATAAGGTGACTATAAAAGTACGGAGTAGCAACTAATTTCTTCGTTAGGTGTAGAAATTTACTGAAGAAACTCTTGTTACTTTGTTAGTGAACTTTATATCGGATAATTTTCTTCTATTAAGTGTAGAAATTTCAAAAAGAAGAAGCACGCAGCACAGCATCAAAGAACATATAGCTCAAGTCTTAGTCCTAGTAAACTAAGCAGCTTTAACGAACCAAAACTAAATATAATTAGAAAATTCAACCCTTTTTACGATTAGAAAATTCAACCCTTTTTACCAACATATAAATCACAAAATGAATGTGTGGTAATAAGTAGTGCTAAATTCCAAACTTTGCGATTAGAAAATAACCGAGAAAGTATTATTTGGACTTGATTGGTACTAGTACTAACCATTATCTTATCTTCATAAATTTTGAATCCGTTTGGTTTGATTTAAAGTGTTTTTATGGAATGATTTTATTTTTCATTTTCCTTTGTTTGGTTTGTAAAGGGATAAAAATAATTGGTGGAAAACATTTTTCTTTACAAAACATTTCCTCTAATCTATCCCACATTTTCACTTTATTTCTAATTTCTCTTTAACTTTTCTTTTTAATGTGACTCTTTAATTTTCCTATAATAACCCAACAAACAAAAACTATCTTGCAAGTATGGTTCCCTTGAAAATATATATTTCATGAAAACTAATTTTTATTGAAAATATGTTACATCAAATCAAATGGAGCCTTAAAAATAAGGTGAAAACATTCACGATCACATAGTGTAGTGCGTATAAGCATGCATATTGGCTCACGTCAATATCAACCTTAATTTCTTATTATTTGCAATAAAAGAGCATTATTTGTGTAAGACATAAATATTACTCCCTCCGTTTTTTTTTTTTTAAATTCATCACTTTGATTTTTCTACTATTCACATAATATGGTTGACTTAATTTTTTCATCTTTATAAAATAAAAAAAAATGTTATTATATATCATTAAATTAGTCATAAGGTCTAATTTAATAAGATAATTTTGTTACAATTTTTACTAATAGACTATTAAAGATAGAAATAGTCAAAGTTGCGAATCGGCAAATGTGCCGATAAAACTGATGCAAATAAAAAAAAAAAATTAAAGGAGTACATTGTTGCAAATGATAAGAAACGGAGGTAGTACAGTATACTATTTGCGAAGTATATGTTGATCGGGGCCTTAAAAATAAGGTGAAAACTATAAAAGCCACATATATAGTGTCGTATAAGCAAAATGAATATTGACTTAGGTCTATATACTACCTTAATTTCTTATTATTTGAAAGAAAGGGGTATTATATGTGATTTATAAAATATTACTTTATTGCAAATAATAAAATATGAAATTAATATATACTATTTGCAAAGTATCATGTTGATTGTGAACAAATGTAGATCGAGTCAGATCGATACCATATATATTAATGCATGATCTGTGCACCAGGGTGCACCATGACCAGGGTGCACCATGCGCATGGTGCACCCGGTTAAATAAAAAAAAGGCGAAAAGAACATTCATTTATTTGAAAAAGAACATGTTCATGTTTGTCAAAGAATATGCATTACTAAAGAACATGAAGACATAAAAGTTAAAATAAGAACAAAAAGAAAACCCTAGCATCTCTTTCCTCTCTTCTCTCTCTAAAACCCTAGCCTCCTTTGTTGAATTTTGAAGGGGCTTCCATCGGATTTACCGGTGGAAAGCCCCAATCATTGTTTCTTTTGTGCCTTTTCTCTTGCTTTAGATTTATAATAATTCTTCCTCTTCTAGGAGGAATATTTCTCCCTCGAAAGACAGGGTTTTTCTTCCTCTTTAGGAGGATTTGGCTCCTTCGAAAGACCGGGTTTTTCTTCTCTCTTTTGAAGGAGGATTTGCTTTTTTATTTCATGGATTGCTATAGAGTTGTAATTGTTTCATGGGTAAAATTTTGTGCGGTATTGAAAAAGAGATTAATATTTCGACAACCATCGAACGAATCAGACGGAAATTTTCTGCACGGCTACAACAGATCGATAGACCCCCTCGCCAAAGAAGGCTGTAAATCACAGCGATATGAAAAAGGGTATGAAGAATGTACGATTTGCAACAACGATCGTAGCTTTGATTACAGAATGTTTTTATTTGATTCAATTATCATGTATTTGTTAGATCTAAATCTCTTTGTAGATATCGTATGACTTATTTCACTACAAAAAAATAGCCTGTTTCCGACGGAAAAATTCCGTCGGAAGAACCCCGAAATCCGCCGGAAAACTCGTTTCCGACAGAATTCCGTCGGAATGGGTTGTCAAAAAATGGTTCATAGGAAAACGGACCCTTCCGACGGAAAATTCCGTCGGAAACACTATTCCGACGGAATTCGGTCATCGGAAGAGGTTTTCCGGCACCGTATAAATCCGTCGTAAATCTCCGACGGACACAATTTCCTCAGAAAGTTGCGACGGAAAATCCGTCGGAAAATTATTAAAAAATAAACAAAAAAAAAAAGCATCCCACCACCCCCACCACCAGCCCAAACCACCAGCTACCACCCCCACCACATGCCCACCCCTAACCCGTATCACCAGCCCTTGTAACCCGATCCACCACCCATACTCACACCCACGAGAACCCATACCCACCTAACCCTAAGTCCCTAACCAACACAAACAAGCCCAAATCTACCACCTCACCTACGTGAACCACCCCACCAACCACCTAAAGCCACCACCTCTACCGCCGAACAAACCATTACAACCCAGAAATTAACAAAAAGAAAAGAAAAATAAAATAAAATCCCAACACAAAACCCAAACCCGAAAACAAATAAAAAAATAATTTTCAGACCAAATAAATCCAGTACCAGAAACCAAAATCCAGAAAATAAATTTAAAAAAAAAAACTAAAAACTGAACAAAAAAAAAATTCAGAACAAAAAAATTGAAAATAAATGAAAAAACAATTGATCTACACTTACCACAAAAATTCGACCACAATCAACCAAATTTAGCCTTGAATATGGTTATATAAGGCCAAATTCGACCATGAAAACGCTAGATCTAGCGTTTCCATGGTCGAACTTGACCTTAAAACCATAAATTTGATATAAAAAAATGTTGGGGATGATGCTTCATGGGCTAGCTTGGCCGGAAGTTGAAAAAAATATGGAGTATGGCGAGAGAAAAGAGGGAATAGCAGCGAGAGAGGAGAGATAAAGAGAAGAGAGGAAGAAACAGAGAAGATAGATGAAGAGAGAGAGGGAGTGCGACTATAAGGGGATGAGAAAAGAAAAAGGAGAACGTTTGGCATAAGGGGCTGCTTTAGGGTTAGGTATTTATATGCCTTTTTTTTTAAATACTCAAATGGCTTTACGACGGAAATTTCAGTCGGAAAGTAAATAATTTTCGACGGATTTTAATCCGTAGGAATCTTCCGACGGAATTTCCGTCAGAATACAGTTTTCCACGAAATTTCCGTCGGTGCTGTATTAATTCCGTCGGAAATTATGCGATTTGAGACGGATTTTCGTGTCCGTCAGAACAATTCCGTCGGAAATCGACCTATTTCTTGTAGTGTTTATGAATCAATTTTATTTCAAAAAAAAGAACATGAAGACATTACAAAAAGAACGTGATAAAAACTTTATTAAAATTCCATAGAAAGGTACACATAAACTTTACCAAATATAATATTTCCTCAAAAATAGTTTTCTCTCTCTTCAATTTTTCATAGTAATTTAAGTTCTCTCTCTAAAATTATTTTCAACTAAAAATAATTCAAGATTTCATTTTCAAATTAAATTCCAAAATTCAAAATAACATATGATTATAAAAAAATAAACAAAGAAAGAGCATAAGTTATAATGTAAAGAACATAGTTCATACCCAAAGAATACACAAATCAAACTCAAATAACATATGATTATAAAAAAATAAAAAAAAAGAAGAATTTGTCATGTGCATCACATACTTTGTATCATTGAAACCCAAAAAAATATGTTTAATCAACAGATGTTAAAAAATATAAGAATAAAAGAACATAATATCAAACATATATATAGGTATGTTCTTTGTCAAACATAAGTATGCACTACGTGAAAAAACAAATTTGGAACTGGTTCAAACCCGGCCTAAGGCACCGGTTTGAACCGGTGCCAATTTGGGGGGTGCCAAAAACCCAATTTTTAGCACCGGTATGTTCTTTGTCAAACATAAGTATGCACTTCTGTTTTTTTTTTTGGGAATTAAAGTCAATTGGCACCGGTTAACCGGTGCCAATTTATGTATTTTTTTTAAAAAAAATTTTAGTTTGCTGTATCCACATACACACATAATATTTTATCCACTTAAATGAAAATGAATATTGATCAAAATTGATCATTAAATAAGAAATATAATCAGAAACATATAACAAGCTTGAATAATACGAAATATATTGATGATTAAATTGTTATTTTACAATACAAAAAAATAAAATAAATTACAACATCAAAATCCAGAAAAAAAAATTATAACATTAAAGAAAAAAAAATTACACATCAAAGAATAAAAAAACTACAACATTGAAATCAAAATTCCAAAAGCAACACCTTGATTCTTCACCTGCATCAATTAAAAAACCGACATTAATAAACTCACTGTAAACTAAAATTACGAAAATTAAGATTCAAACCCAGAAAAAAATTGAAATTCAAACCCAGAAAAAAATTAAGATTCAAACCTAGAAAAAAAATTAAGATTCAAACCCAGAAAAAAAAATTGAAATCGCAAAAAAATTAAATCGAAAAAAAATTAAATAAAAAAATGCCCAGAAATAAAAAAACCCAGAAATGGAAATAAATTGAAATCGAAAAAACCCAGATAAAAAATAAAAATTAAAAAACCTAGAAATCGAAAAACAAAAAAACAAAATCGAAAACAAAATATATCAAAATCGAATAAACAAAAACAAAAATCGAAAAAAAATTCAAAATCAAACATAAGAAAAAAAATTACAGAAATTGAAAAATAAAATATCAAAATCGAAAACAAAACATATTAAAATCGAATAAACAAAAATCGAAAAAAAAAAATCAAAATTGAAAACGGAAAAAATAACCCAGAAATCGAAAAACAAAAAATTAAAATCGAAAACAAAATGTATTACAATCAAAATCGAAAACAAAATGTAGTAAAATCAAAATCGAAAAAAATAAATCAAAATCAAACCGGTTCGTGGTGTTGCATGTGCTCGTGGTGGTCACCGTGGTGGTGTTTGTGGTAATGTTCGTGGTGGTCTTCGTGGTGGGCTAAAAAAAGAAGGAAAAGGAAAAGGGGACGTGATATCGATCTTACTCTTTTATGTCGGTGACCACACAATGCTATTATGGGGTTTACTTTTTCAAAGTTATAAAGGTTACCTATTCAGTATTATAAAGGTTACCCGTGTTACTCAGTTACTGTCATATGGGTTAGTGTCTTGCTTTAGGAGTTACATATTTTGTTCTGTTGCAAGTAGTTATTCGTTGAGGCTAGATGCACAAAAACGTGTTGTACATTTTTTTTTTGATGATTAAAGAAGTGGAAAATGTTTGGAGGGTAGTCCCTAAAAAATTGCATATAATTGAAGGGTTGGGGATTTAGAGTACTATAGTGAATTGTTGATAAAGGAACCGTATACTCGTGCTAATACATGACATATATTATACTATTGTACCAAAGTGAAATGTTATTAGTAGTTCCTTGAAATAAAAAACAAAAGGAAATAGTGAATGGGTAGTTATTGATTTTTTTTAAATGATAAAATAATAATAATAATAATAATAATAAAATAATAATAATAATAATAAAATAATAAAATAATAAAATAATAATAATAATAAAATAATAATAATAATAATAATAATAATAATAATAATAATAATAATAATAAAGTAGTGGGATGGGTAGTTATTTTGTTCTTAAAAAAAAAAAACTATATGCATGAAAGTTGAGCATTTAGGTTTTGGAGCACTTTCATCAAAATGACTCTGTAATTTTAATATAGATGTATTAATATAACCTTAAGTGCTAAGTATATTGAATTTCTGTTGAAAAATACTTCCTTTCTTTTATTATAGCTAAAACATTTGAATTTCACCAATTTTTATATGTGATCAAATGTATACAAAACACATTGTTGATTTTTGTAATATTTACACGAGATTTTTTTTTTGGAGTACACCTCTACTTTGGTACTTATTCGAATTTGATTGAGTTAATCATTTCGTATAAGTTAAAATTAGATTAATGAATTCAAATATGTAGTAAATAAAATTTAAGTATATAGATTGCACCCTTGTTATCATTATTTATGGTGATTTAAACTTGTAAGAAAAAAATAGTTATATGAGATTTTTTTTTATTAAGCTCGATTCATTGTATATCTTCAAATTACTCCGTCATTTTTCCATAAAGATTCCTTGTTAATTAATCAAAGATTTAAAATTTACAATCAATTTAAGATATTGGATACAGAGTATATTATAATGTGAATTGACAAGCATGTAAAGAAGCATATTTCATCTATAATAACGGAAAAAGTATTAATAATGTTAAACTTTAATCCGTAAAATAAACTAATACATCAATTAACACGTAATTGCATTTCGTGTATGAAATGTATTTAATGCTTATAATTAATCCAGAATGCTTTAATTTAAGAAAAACAAAACAGAAAACTCTTGGCACTTGGTAGTACTAGTGCTAATTATAATCACCTACCAGTCTATTATAATTCTATATAAATAAACCTCTTTCTTTACAAATTAAAAAAGCAGGGGACTTTAAAAAAACTTGTCAAAGTCTTAAAAACTTCACAATTTCATATTTTCTCTCTTTTCTCCTACACTTACACACTTTCTCTCACCACCTTTTGAACTCAGTAAGATTTCTTCTTTTTGATTAATTTTGCAGTTATCATTACAATTTTGTTCAAATTTTGAATCTTTTATCTATTTTGTGTTCATTTTTTTTGCTGATTAGTTTTTTTTTTTTATATGAAGTTCTGTTAATTTCTGTACCTGGGTTTTTTATTTTACAATTTTGTTCAAAATTTGAATCTTTTATCTATTTAGCGTACATCTTTTTTGTTGATTAAATTTTTATATGAAGTTCTGTTAATTTCTGTACCTGGGTTTTTTTATTTTTCAATTTTGTGTTAATTAAGGAGAATTTAAGGTCATTTTCTGAGTGCATGCATTGTATAATCAGTTATATTTCATTGATAATACCACAAAAATATTAAGCTGTATTTACTGATATTTTGCCGTTATAAAGGAGCCACCTTTATGGTGTGCATCATAAAATAAGGAGAAATTAAAGAGAGAATTTTCTGGCATTGTATAATTTGCGTGTTCCATTATTTAATTTTCCAAAGAAAAGAAACAATATTTAATCTGTTATTCCAGGAGTTTGTTTCAGACTTTCAGTACTGTTGTGGATGCCATTAGGCTTGTAGGGAATTATTTAGACTGGTAGGTGATTAAATATAAATGAGATTTTAACTTCTGTTTTAAAATAGTTTGGCAGTTAAAATTACAAATTTTGATCATTATTTTTTGTTAATTTGTTTTATTTTTTGAGTTATAATGTGTTACTAGCACCTTTACCTTGAAAGGAACTTTTGTAAATTTGTTAAGAGGTATTTTATAATTGTAGAAATTGGTATGGTGTAACTATTAGCTTTATTTGGAAAAGATGATGTTTTGAGCATCAAAGATTTATGCTATATGAATACATGAATTATTGGTATGATAGTGTAACACCCATTTGGTTTAGGGTTAAAATTGTTGACGAGATAGAGTTAGACAGTGTGCATAAGATTTGATTAGGTTTGTTCTAGCTAGTAGTGTACAAGTGCTTGTTTGTTTGACATAAACGTGTATAGGAATCACGGAAGTATCCGAATCCCTTGCTTTTGTATGGAACATTATTGAGCGGATTATAAAGCCTATGTAGAATGCAGAACAAGATTTCTTTATGTATGCTACTCTTTTTCTCATAAAAAGGTGATAGAAGTTCTTAGTAAGTAAGAAAATTAAAGTTGTTTGGTTGGCAAAACGCACTAACTAGGCAGGAAGGTATGCTTCTTACAATAAGGACATGATCACTCTTTTTTCTGAAATCAAGGGTCATTATTTCCTGTCTATTGCAGTTCGTTTTCGTAGCGTTCATTATCTGATGTAAACTGAAAATTCTTTGATAGGTAAAGATGGTTAAAGTTAAGGTGCTTGTGATTCCGCTGTTTCTTTCATTATTTCTGATGCCCCTGGTCCTTGCAACATCCAATGATGGATTACTTAGAGTTGGATTAAAAAAGAAGAAAATTGATCAGAATACTCGTGTTGCTTCTCGGCTTGGGTTGAAAGATAGGGAGAACCTGAGATCCTCCCTAGGGAAATATGTTGTTGGTGAACTTAGAGATGTAGAGGAGGGTGATATTGTTTCCCTGAAGAATTATATGGATGCTCAATACTTTGGGGAGATTGGTGTTGGTACTCCCCCTCAGAAATTCACTGTTATTTTTGATACTGGTAGCTCTAACTTGTGGGTGCCTTCGGCAAAGTGCTACTTCTCGGTCAGTTACTTATAATCACTATTATGAATAATATTTGTCAGCTTATCAATTTTCTTTAAGTCTTATATTTATGAGTTTTTGTGTGCAGATTGCTTGCTTCTTCCATGCCAAGTACAATTCTGGCTCTTCTAGTACTTACCAGAAGGATGGTATGTCATCTTTCCTTATAAATTTTCTAGTACTTACCAGAAGGATGGTATGTCATCTAGGATTTATCACTACAATCTTTACAACTTTATACCTCTACAAAAGATAATGACTGTCTTTGTGCTATTTGCCTGTATTCTGGTATGTTTTTGTTGTACTCGTGTGCGAGTGTGTGCTTGAATTGTAGCAAGGAAATATATATTTCTGATTCCGTTGGGATTCTATTTTCTGTCTTTGGTACCATTGCTGGAGTTTTGACAGGAGTATTACAAATGATAATGAACAGACTAGCAGAAAAAAGGAGAATTACACACTACTCTGTACACTGTATGAGAAGTCCAGTGCTGTATCATAATATAATACCGTTATAAACTTATACGAGTAATTGTCTAATTGTAAATTATGATCGGATCGTTAATATGTAATTGATTATTTTCTGTTAACATGATCATGTATCCTTTTGTATTTTTCTTAACATCATACTGTTCATTGTTGAGATTTCTCATGGCTCTTAATTTTTGACTATATCCAATGCAGGAGAATCTGCTGCCATTCGATATGGTTCTGGATCTGTATCTGGTTTCTTCAGTGAAGATAACGTGGAGGTCGGTGACCTTGTTGTAAAGGACCAGGCAAGTAAAATCAACTTAACATCAGTTCTTAGTGGTAATTGGCTAGTTAGTCATCTTTTGATAACTTTGTGTTTATTTCTCAGAAATTCATTGAAACCACTAGAGAGCCTAGCATCACATTCGTGGTTGCCAAGTTTGACGGGATACTTGGACTAGGGTTCCAAGAAATAGCAGTTGGGAATGCTGTTCCAGTTTGGTAAGCTTTGCAGTTACCCATGAACATAATCATTATCTTTTTCTCGTATATATAATCTTCTTTATGCATCGAATAGGACCATAAACAATTGATTTTGAGATACCTGAATGAGTTAATGTCAAAAGTAAAAAGGAAATATATGTTATCATATCCTTTTATTGTCTTATACAGTACTTTATCTAATACCATATGATTAAGTACAATAACATATTAATTTGACTTAGACTCATCATAAGTAGGATGGTTTGGGGCAGTTGTCATTTCAATATTATGAAAAACTAATTTGACAATACTTGTGTTCAAGGTACAATATGGTTAAGCAAGGGCTTATCAAGGAGCCAGTATTTTCATTTTGGCTTAACCGTAAAGAAGAAGACAATGAAGGTGGTGAACTTATCTTTGGAGGGGTCGACCCAAAGCACTTTAAAGGCAAGCACACATATGCTCCCGTAACAAGGAAGGGTTATTGGCAGGTATTTGTTTGATTGTGAAAGGTTCATGTTAGACAAATTGGTATATTCATTCACGGATCTTACTTAAAGAATCTGTTTGTTGGCAGTTCGATATGGGTGATGTTCTTATCAATGGTAAAACTACAGGTATGCATCTTGTTACTATAAAATTTAGGAATGTGCCAATTATGGCAACTACGGAGTATAAGGGATGGGAAATCGGAGTGTTATTGGACTATATTCTTAACAATAAGATAAACACTTCAACATCTAAGGAAATTGTCAGTTGTTTTCAATTTCCTCTGTTTTGTTATTTATGATGCTGATGGACTCTCCTGTTATCTGTAGGGTACTGCTCAGGTGGATGCGCAGCTATTGCAGATTCTGGAACATCTTTGTTGGCTGGCCCTACGGTTAGTCTTCTTTGTCATCTGTATTGAATTATATAGTAGCTCTACAAGATGGGTGTCCTAGCCTCAAGCTTGTTGATGGTGTACACTGTTACTTGGACTCGATAATTTACTTAAATACCCATGTCACACTACGATATGGATTTGTAAACTTGATGCTTAAATTGGTCCAGAGTTCATGGAAATAGTTGTGAATAGCTGATTCTGATACTTGAACACCAATTTTAACACCAATACTTGAGTCGGAGTAGCATAGGTTGTACATTTGTATTAAATTTTGGCATGACTGGCTCCACTTTAGATAT